TCTTTCTTCATAGTTTATTTTGCAAATCATGACAATGACAGTCTCCCACTTGCTTTTAATCTTTTATTTCCTCGTACTTGATGATGACAAACACTGTGTAGCTTTTTTTTTAACACCAGGAAAAACATTTTTACATTTCAGTTGGTTGATTAAATGAATAAATAGATTTAAATAGTAAAATATATTTTAAGGGAGGTGTAACTTTGTAGCTGTAGCTAGATTTGATTTCTCTTCTTCTCAGGCTGCTGGTAGACACAGTCGTCCATTTTCCTCCATCTCTGGACGAAGTGACTGTGTCAGTGAGTGATGAACGGATGTGGGTCAGGAACCATGTGGAGGAAGAAGCAGGTGACAAGATTGATATGAAAACGTTTCGCCAGCGTAGTAGTAAAGCAGGAACTGACATCTAATAATGCCATGCATTGCCATGTTTTAAAATCAGCTTTTTGTCCTCTTGTTTTTCTGCTCTCTCAGAGGCGTCCAAAGCCATGCTGACCGAGCTGTGTTTGGCTTCAGACGAGTTTGATCATTTTGCTGCCCAAGCTCACAACAGTGTGACTTTTTGTCTGAAGGAGTTGCGGGTGAGAGAAACTATATAGGGAAAGCACGAGAGAGTTGCGTAAGTTAGTTTGGGAGGGGGAGAGAGGTGGTTATCAGACCAGAGTGTGAAAGAAGTTATTTGGGGACCAGATGAAAGCACTTACAAGATGTTGTGGTGTTCTTGTAATGCTTGCATAGTTTGCAAAGTCACTAACTAGTATCTCTCATTCAGGGTTTACTAGTGTTTGCAGAATCAACTGGCCTCCCTGTTTCTATGTACTTGGACGAGCCGGGCAGGTGAGCATCGCCACCTGTGGGTTATTTTTTTTTGATTACTTGTTTCTTCCTTTTTAATAACATAATTTTTTTCTGTGTCTGTTTGTGTGACAGCCCTGTGGTGCTTTCAGTAACGGACAGTGTCCTGGAAGGAAACTTTGTGCTGGCCACTCTTTCTGATGATCCCAGCCTTCGTAAAAATAGCAGCAAAGGGTAAAAACGACAAAACATATTTTTGTTGATTTGGGACGTTTTTTTCTCTTGCTTGTGAGCAGGAAGAAAAATGAAAACAAAACTAGTGTACCCTTCACACAATGGCTTATTAACAGCTCGGTGACAGATGACCCTACTGCGCCACCTGGTGGATCAGAGTGTAAATGAAGACAAATGCTGGAGGAGCCCATTTACATTTCATACTCGACATTTCCAGTTGTTGGAAATGGATTTTTATTATTTGCTCCAGGAGTTTAGACCAGGTTCTTAGTCCACCAGTTTGAATAAACTCTTTAAAAAAACTGTGTTTATTCAGGGTTTCACATTTTGTCATTCTGAGGCTGAGAGGCTAAATCTGGAGAACTCATGTCACAGTTAACAGCTGTTTGTAGTTGCATCTTCACACAATAAATGCACTCAGTATATTTATGGGAGTGAAAAACTAGAATACCGTAGGCTTAATTGTTATGATATTGAGCTCTAAAATTGAAGCTGGTTAGTCATGTTGATTTGTTATTGTTTTGCAAGTCCAGAAAATCAAACGGTCACCATGAAGGTCAAAAGGAGCAAGAAAAGCTTTTTTTTTTTTTTTAAATCTTGTGTGTCATCTTTCTATCTGACTTGCACTCCAAACCGTCTGCTCCACCCCTCAGAGCACACACAGCAGCTCCACCCCCTCCCGATGACTTCATGAATGATGACATGGACTCATATCTAATCGCCATGGATACCAGTATTGCGCCAGGTCCCTCAAACACAGGTCCACCCCCGCCTTCATTATCTGGTGACACACGTTCAAAACGGCCTGCAGCAGTCAGCCACAAGGCAAGGATTCTCATCGAGGAGGCAGAAGAAGAAGAAACAGATGATTTAGACAGACTACCTAATAAAAAGGTATGCCTTAGGTTTCTCAGGCGTGTTAACATGCTGTGGATTCACTTCAATGAATCAAAACGACAGAAGTAAAATATTCTCGCACATACAAAAAGAAGCAGATTCTTTAAAAATTGAGTCGTCACAACTGTCCACATACAGTCCTCACGTGAAAAAGAAAGTACACGCACGCTCTTTTAATTTAGTTTTATGTGTCAGGCTGTAACAAAAAAATCAACTTGTTCTTATTAGGTCTTAAAATTAGCTAAATGCAACTTTAGATTAATAACAACTCATGAATTATTATCATTACTTACATGTTACACACAAGCAGTGCGTGTGTGTAACTAAATATATCCTCACTGCTTCCACAGAAATTGAGTGTGAAGATAAATACAGTAGCAGCCAAGTGCTGCTAATCAAATCCACTTGATTAACTGATTAACAGCAAGTGTGTTCACCTTTATAAAACCAGAGGTATGGTTGTTTTTCTGGTCTGGAGCATTCAGGTGTTTGTTAATGCAGTGCCAGGGAGGAAAGACATCAGCAAAAACCTTAGAGAAACAGCTGTTGCTGCCCATCAATCAGGTGAGGGTTATAAGACCATTTCCAGTCAACCTGAACTCCATCACTGTACAGTGAGGAAGATTATTCACAAGTGGAAAACCTTCAAGTCAGCTCTCAGTGTTGTTGGAAGTGAAGGTCCTGGCAAATTCACCCAAAGGTCAGACCGTGCAGTTCTTAGACTCTATGGGCCTCAAGTTAGCATGTCAAATGTTAAGGTTTATAAGGGTGTGATTAGAATAACGCTGAACAAGAATAGCTTGTTTGGAGGGTTGTTAGGAGAAAGAAACAATCCTCTCTAAAAACATGGCAGCACACCTTATGTTTGCGGAGTTGCTTCTGAACAAACCACAGAAACCTCTGGAACAAAGGCGTGCACATTTAAGCAGATATTTAATAAAAAAATTAACCAGTTGTTTGATTTTTTTTTTTTGTCTCAAATTAATTAAATATCGGTATCTTAACATTTTGATAAATTGTAGTCTTTAATATATTTCCCTTGTGTGTGATTTTTCTCACAGTTTCGGTCGCTCTTCTTTGGATCGGTGCTTCCCCCGTCGTCTCAGTTGAGCACACAGCCGATGACTTCTCAAGAGGTGCTGGCCAGCGACAGTGAGGAAGAAAATTAAATAACTGCAGACTGATCGGCTAGAGGAGACATGGACTAAACTGACAGTGGGTGCATGTGCGTGCACTGTTAAACAAAGACACCTGGAGTACTTGAAGATAAAGAAATGAACACAAATTTTCATCCTTACTGGCCAGAACAAGTAGTACCTGGACCTGGTTAAATATGCAGAGGCCACCAGCCTCTAAATTCTCATTATGTAGAACTAGACATGAAGCAATTCCAATTTATTTTAATTTTGTGTTTGCCCAGTTTGTAATTAAGGTGCAGTGTAAAAGGTCCCACCGAATAAAGCAAACTTATTTTTCAATATATGTAAACATCATTTATTATTTATTTACATGTCAAAAAGTTCAAGTATGAGAAATATTTAGGATGAGGGAATTCCACATATCCACCAATGTGGAGCTCAAAGAGAGAAAGGCAGTGATGCAGAATCTGAGTAATGTCAAAAATAAGCCTCGGCATAACCAGCAGAATGTCTGTGAATTGTCTGTGAGTCAGTCTTTGCAGGATGAGCAGCGTCGTCACTACGTTTCTCTTTTTGCACCTGAAAACTTTTCCCTCTCGTCTGTGGTTTCCTCCTCTCCTTTTCCTTCCCCTTCTCCAGCTCCTTCTCTTTCTTCTTTTTCAACCTCTCCTCTTCCTTCTCCTTTCTTTCTTGTTCCCTCCGCCGCCGCCTCCTCTCCTTGGAGTTCAGTTTGTCCTCCGCCTCTTCCTCAGCTGCATTCCCAGTCCCTGGCATATCACTGAAGTCTTGAATCAAGATTTTCGGCACTTGCATTTTGGGTGCCTTCTTAGCCTTGTTGTCTTTGTGATGCTCACCTCTCAGTCTGCGGAAGAGACCAAAACGTTTAGGGGTGTCGGGCTGTGGCTGCTGCTGTGTGGGGGCTTCCTCTGTTGTTGTTGCTGCTGCTGCTGCTGCTGCAGGCGGCAACAGATCAGGAGCAGCTTGTTTTGAGGTCACAGCTTTAGGATTGCACTGTGACTCTGTGAGTTTGGCTTCTGGTTGATTTTCTGAAGTTTTCTGGGGGGTGGTGAAGAGATCCTCGGAAAGCCTGCGGGCTAGCCTGGAGCTACGTGAGGTGGATGACTTGCGAACGCAGAAATCAGCAGATGATCGACTGCTGCGACGCTCAGGGGTTTGTACCGGGGGCTCTTTTGCAGATTGAGAACATTGGACTTGGGGAACATTTGTTGGCTCAGAAGAAATGAAGACATCGTCCTCTCCTGCTGGAGTTTGTTTAATCTTTTCAGTAATTTCTTCCTCCTGCGTGGGCTCCACTTGTTGAACCTTTTGATTTGAGTCTTCAGGATCCACAGTAACCTGGCTTGTTGTCTCTTCAGGTGCTTTTGTCTCAGAGGTACTAATTTGTACTGAACTCTCCTCATCAGGCTCACTGGTGTGGTTGAGCTGATCAGCTGGTGCTGCAGACTCTTCCGTTTCCATGGGTGTTGCAGAGTCTGCAGGCTTCTCATAAGTCTGAGTTTCTGTTGGTGTTTCCTCTGTGATTTTTTGAGTATAGATGCATGAATCACTTTCAACCTGTGCCTCCGAGTGTACATTCAAAATAATTTCTTCTGTTGCCTTATTTGACGCCTCCACTGTGTCTTTTCCGACTGTTATCTCAGCTTTAGTCTCTGTATCATCTACTGCACCAGTGCTTTCTTTTTGTTGAGTGCATTCAGATGAAGACAGCATTAATATTTCTTCTTCTTGCTCCATTTCTGTCTTTGAATCTACTTGTTGTTCTGAATCGACTTCTTTAATTTCTACCTTTATATCGCACTGTGTGGCTGAATTTTCCTGATTATGTGTCAGAACCTCATTTTCTGTGTCTCTTTGGGTGTGGGACTCTGCTTCCTTTTCTGTTTGTACTAATGACTCAGTACTGTGGTATTTTACTTCAAGTGCACCTTTTTCTGTCTCCTTGATCAGCTCTTCCTTTTCCTGTCGTGATTCTGCCTCTGCTGCACTATTCTGATCATCAACAGTTAAAGCTTCAACACCTCTGTCTGTGTCCACACTTGTCTCACTTTTAGACTCCGTAACGTCTGCGTTCATCTCCACCTGTTGCACACTTTCAGTGTCAGGACTCTCTTCTGATTTCACGTCAGCTTGTATCCTCTGCTCCTCGCCTGCGTTTACACCTATTTGCATCTCGTCCTCTGTGTTTGTATGTGCTTCGGCTATTCTCGGTGTCTCACTGTGGTTTTCCTCCACAGCAACCACGTGTTTCTCTGCCTCTTCATTTGTGTCTTTGAGCTCTACTTCCTGGTCTTTGCTTTTATGACTTTGTTCTTCTAGCACTTGTGATTCACTCTCTGCGTCCAGCTTTTCTTCTTGTTCACAGTGAGGTGCATAATCAGGGGGATGAAGAATATTTTCAACAGTCTGATTTGGGGCAATCTTTTCTTCTTGTTCTGAAAGCATTTTGCTTTCATTTATCTCAGTCAGCTTGGTTTCATCCATATCACTGAGTTTGTGTTCCCCTGTCTCCCTGACTTCACTTGTCTCCGTCTCCCTGACATCACTTGTCTCCGTCTCCCTGACATCACTTGTCTCCGTCTCCCTGACAACACTTGTCTCTGTCTCCCCGACAACACTTATCTCTGTCTCCCCGACAACACTTGTCTCTGTGACAACACTCATCTCCGTCTCCCTGACTACACTTGTCTCTGTCTCCCTGACATCACTTGTTTCTGTTTTGCTGACATCACTTGTCTCTGTCTCCCTGACATCACTTGTCTCTGTCTCCCTGACATCACTTGTCTCTGTCTC